CGTGTTCAAAAGTTAATTTCTCCCCCTGCAACACGCAAGGTTTTTTTTCTTGAACCGAACCAACAGAAGGCCACTTGTTCTTTTGTCCGGACTAAAAAATACAGGTGTGGGCGTGTGCATCATGCGTGTATACGCATTTCGTGAAAGGTCCGGTGCAATAGAGCCTATATGTCATACAGAAATATAACCATGAATGAATCAAAACTCGTTCCCTTTTACCCACTCCGACCATGTGAGATATATTTGGGAGGGCTAACATTTTATTTTTGAGTTTTTATTTTTTACACAACATATATTTTTGGGGCACCCGTTTTTTAGACCTACACAAGTTTTGAATAGATTGATTGTAATTATTTTCATGTTTGAATTTTTTCCTTTTATGTGTCTTTTAACTGTATTATGTACATACATTTCTGTATTACATGTTTCCTGTCTCTGATTTATCGTCAGTGTTTATTACGGTATCATAAACAACGGTTTGTCAACAAGAAACGAAAAACAATAAAATATATCCTGCTAGGTTCGAGTAAACAAAATGCGGTGGTGCTCCAATTTAAGTATCTTTTACTTGCACGCACGCAGATTTGTGGTACCGAGGCTTAGGCAAACGCACCTCGCCCAACTCCTTATCTTCTAGTATACCCAACTACCTGTATATGTTTGCACTCATCACTGTAACATACTATACTAGAATTATTTTAGATGTATACATGATTATAGCAAGAGCTAATAATACACGGTATTATTTATTAGCTCACGATACACTGTAGATCTGTACTCGGTCGATGGATATGAGTTATTATGTATTGCACTGACTCAAACCGGTACGTGTATATACGAGCATGACTGCTGTCGACGTGTACGTGATAAATTGTGCTGCTAGTAGCATGGGGAAGTTGTAGAAATGCCTGCAGGTGTGTTATATGACCAACCTGAACAACGATCACGTCACCCGCACTACCTGTACATGTGCGTGTCTTGCGTAACGCTACAGTGATTAATTAGACGAGCTTTGGACGCGTTAGAGAACCATTGCCTTCCGTGCAGCAGCTGTATTCAACTATACTGCTACAACTGCTGCTGCTGCTGCTGCTGCTGCTGCTGCTGCTGCCATTATCGCTCCTGCTACTACTGCCTGCTGCTGCTGTTATCGCTCCTGCTACTACTGCTGCTACTACTACTGCTGCTGCTGCTGCCATTGTCGCTCCTGCTACTACTGCTGCTGCTACTACTGCTGCTGCTGTTGCTGCTGTTATCGCTCCTGCTACAACTGCTGTAGCTGCTGCTGCTGCTGCTGCTGCTGTTATCGCTCTTGCTACAACTGCTGTAGCTGCTGCTGCTGCTGCTGCCATTATCGCTCCTGCTACTACTGCTGCTGCTGCTGCTGCTACTGCTGCTGCTGCTACTGCTGTTATCGCTCCTGCTACTACTACTGCTGCTGTTGTTGTTTTTGTTGTTGGTGTTACTGTTGTTGTTGTTGTTGTTGTGGTTGCACCTGTTGCTGCTGCTGCTGTTGTTGCTGTTGTTGTAGTAGTTGTAGCTGTTTCTCTTGTTTCTGTTGTTGTAGTTGTAGCTGTTTCTGTTGTTGTTGTTGTTGTTGTTGTTGTTGTTGTTGTAGTTGGAGCTGTTTCTGTTGTTGTTGTTGTTGTTGTTGTTGTTGTTGTTGTTGTTGTTGTTGTGGTTGCACCTGTTGCTGCTGCTGCTGTTGTTGCTGTTGTTGTAGTAGTTGTAGCTGTTTCTCTTGTTTCTGTTGTTGTAGTTGTAGCTGTTTCTGTTGTTGTTGTTGTTGTTGTTGTTGTTGTTGTTGTTGTTGTTGTTGTTGTTGTTGTTGTTGTTGTTGTTGTTGTTGTTGTAGTTGGAGCTGTTTCTGTTGTTGTTGTTGTTGTTGTTGTTGTTGTTGTTGTTGTTGTTGTTGTTGTTATTATTGATGTAAATGATGATGCAGACAAATCATTTGTGATTGAATTTGTCTGTCTTGTTTATGTAATTTGTTTATTCGTTTATTTACTCATTTACACATTACTTAACAATTTTATTTAATTAGTTAGGCAGCAATTTACTTAGTTGTATATCTTGTCCGCTTATAACTTTATTCTTAGAATATACCAAGAAGAAGACAAATAGACTATAGTAGTATAGAACCACAATAATAGTTTTTCGTCCGGTCACCATGTGTATCCATACCTCTGTAATTACTTGCTAGTTGGTGGGTGTGATCACTGTGATGATGTGAGATCGCGATCCCGTGTGAGAACTTACATGGGCTAAGTGCGGGACTAAGACATCAATACAGGTACTATTTCTTGGAAGCCCGTGCGACGACACACGCGCCGATGTACATGTTAACTTTATATCTTTGTTCGCGTGTCACCTTCTTCTTACAACATGTCACAGGGTGCGAAATTAACGGGAGTCCGGAGTCAAATAATACTCCCTGATTTACTGTCGGACTCCCTGATTTGACATATGCAGGAGTCCGTGTGACTCCCTGAAAATTTTGCCATACTAACTAGTTCGTTCCAGAGCACGGCCTTGCGGAATTACCGTATTTTTTCAGCAAATGTCCAAAGAAAATTTGGCAGACGTGCACCCACATGAATCTTCAAAATAAGAACATGCGTTATTGTTAATATCTTTAGTTTTGAACTTCAGACTGCGGACTCCCTTATTTTGCCGCGGACTCCTTCTTTTTGAGGGCAGGGACTCCCTTTTTCAAAAGTTAATTTCTACCCCTGCATGTTGAGGTAACATAAGCTACGACCACATGATCAGAACTCTGCATTGTAAGCTAGAAATTTTGCAAACGTAGCTATCCATATCTGTTCCAATCATGACGTGTGTGCACGCACGCAGGGTGTCACATGCACAGCGGCTGCTCACGTGTCAAACACTGTCATCCGCGGATTTCCGCGTGACGTAACCGTTCTGACGACCAGCTGTTCCACCGTTCTGGTCAGGTGGGACTGGGACGTGTGTGGCTGGTGCTCAGGTGTTTGGGTTATTTCAGTATTAGAGGATAGAGTACACGAACATTTAAACTTCGGTAGTAAATACAATGTCACGTGTGTTTATTTACATGTCATTTTATTATTTGAACACCCCTAGTGCCTGTGGCATGGTGGTCGCGGTAGACTGGGTGAATATTCATGAGATATACCTCGCTCGTGATGCCTCGTGACTTGATACCTATAAATATATATAGCATACCTGCCGAAACGAAATAAACGAGCTGTGTTTTGTCATATGCAAAGTCATTTCAGAGAATTCTTTGTAGACCCGATTTTCGCAGAAGTACCGATCCATACATGTAATACGAGATCGCCCGTACCTTAGACTGTCCCCGCATCATCGATCTCCCCTTGTCTTGCAGATCGCGCGCAGTGCGTGGGGACACTGAAGCCCGTCTCGGACAATGTGGACAGCGTGCGGCCACAGCTGCGTGCGGCCCTCGAGACGTGGCATGTTGCCTTTGCTCCTGACCGCTCCTGCTTCGTCTGGGCTTCCGGACGCAAGATCACCATCGTACCCTGGAGCAGAGAGAGCCGCGCACCGTGAGTGTCACCCATCGTCGCGCCCGTTCACAGGGTACCGGTGGGCGGGGCGTGGAGGGTACGGGGTTGGGTGGATGACGGGCGTGGGGTGGGTCGTGAAACTGTGTTTTTTCGCCGTAATTTTGCTTTTGGATGTGGTCGGGGGGGAGGGGATATTGTTTCGTTATCAGCTTGAGTGCGCGGTGCACACTCGTGTTCTCGATGGTAAGTGATAAGGCTTCTTACGTGAAACCTCATCGCTCTTGCGTCCTATCATCCTGTCAAATAACCAGGCACCCTCTGTCAGAAACAATATTAGTCATTCATTAAATAAGTTCATTCGGTTGGTAGACTAATAGATCTAACTGGGTTAATTGGTACTCTACCGTAAAGATTGAAAACGTACAGCTGACGTTTGCGAAACTGAAATGAAAATGAAAAATTAGTCATGACATTAGTCTTAACATGAACTCGTGTTCATGGTTGTCTCACTCTGAAGCTGCCACTATCGGGAATTGCCAGGCATGTCCCTTATATACAGTCGTCTCTTCTATAGAGGTGGTTTCACACTAAAGTGTTCACGGTCTATGAAACTGCTTAAAGCGTTCACTAGAAATGGGCGATTGTCCATGCGATGGACGCATGCACTAACACAGGGTCTCGTTAGGGAGCACCTAGGACGTAGAGGAGTGTTAACTGTGCATGCTTGGTAGTCCGCTACCTAGCTGTCCCTCCCTTCTATACAGGAGGTTTCCGATGAGAGTTTCGACTACACTCTGAATTTGCCACTCTAGGGAATTGCTTAAAGTGTTCTCTAGAAACAGATGCTAGTCCATTCAATAGAGGAGTGCTGATTGTATCACACGCTTACTTACTCTCTCTCTCTCTCTCTCTCTTTCGTCGTAGGGACCTTAGTCACGTTCAGCAGTCGCTGACATTCGACTGTGGTGAGGTGGTGTGGGGGCTGGCGGTGACGCGTGCAGACAAGGCATCAGCGAGCAATATGAAGAAGAACTGGGCATGTCGCTTCAACTTTGCGCAGGCTCCAGTTCTAGCCGTCGGTCTGCAGAATGGACACATCAAGATATACGACCTCGAGACAGGTAGAGTCGTGCGTGCATGCGTGCGTGTGTGTGCGTGCATGTGCATGTGTGCGTGCGTGCGTGCGTGTGTGCGTATGTGCGTGCATGCATGGATGTCCTCTCTCATCGCCTCTCATCCTCTTTCATCCTCTCTCTCCTCCACTCTCTCACCCTCCTCGCTTTCTCTCCCTCCTCTTTCTCTCTCTCTCTTTCTCTCTCTCTCACCATCCCCCACTCTCTCTCGCCCTCCTCTCTCTCTCTCACCCTCCTTTCTCTCTCACCCTCCTCTCTCTCACCCTCCTCTCTCTATCACCCTCCTCTCTCTCTCTCTCTCTCTCTCTCCTCTCTCTCACCCTCCTCTCCCTCACCCTCCCCTTTCTCTCTCTCT